CTATAACTTGTTTACTTAGGTCATTTTTAGCTTTTAGAAGGATATCTGTATGGGCGGTAGTTATGGGAAGAACGGGTGCACAGAGGGTCGGTGGGTATGGAGGTAGGGGAGGTGCAGAAGCAACAAGAGGGGGCCAGTCAGGATTATGATATCGGGCGGCCTCTTCCTCTAAGTCACTCTCCTCAGAGGGGGTTAATCCTTCAGGAGGGGAACCTTGTTTCTGAAATATTGGGAAGGTTAAGTTGGAAGAAGGTTTTTCTTTTCTCTCTACCTTGGGCAATGTTGGATAAAGTTGGGTTGGCCCGCCTGTAGCGGTTGGCTTCGAGGGAGGCATATCGATCATGACTGATGGGTAAGGCGAGGTCTGCTCCTGATGAGCGACACCCTGAGTTACCTTTTGAAGGTTTGTCTTATTAATGGATGACACAGAGGCAGACCGAGAAAGGGGCTTAATGAAATCCTCAGCTAGGGAAATAATTTTACTTTTGTTTTCAGGAGAGTCTTTGAGAAGATCTCGGACTAATGTCCAATAGCTGAAAGTCTGAATGGGAACTGCCTCAGAGCCTTTATCCTTTAATAGTTCATTTAAACACTGTCCCACTTGGTCCCATTTTTTAGGGTTGATTTCAGGACCATCTATAACAAACCAAGGACACTGGTCACTCACAAAAAATTTAAAATTTACAAGATCTTTTTTCTTAACTCAGACTCCTCTTTCTTTGAGGGAGGCCTTCAAGTCCCTAATAAAAATAGCCTCCTTAGACAGTTGCTGGCCCAATTTTTGAGACAGAGACAACAGATCAGCATTCAGAGAGGCCGTCCTCAAATGCGTACCCGTTTCTGTCTTCAACCATCTCTGTCTGGCGAGGGTCTGTACCTCGAGGCCCATGTAGGTGCCACTTGAGAGTGCAGATCAAACGAGGCGGCGATCCGGCGCAGTTACTTTCTCTTTGTCAGAGGCCGTCCTCAAATGCGTACCCGTTTCTGTCTTCAACCATCTCTGTCTGGCGAGGGTCTGTACCTCGAGGCCCATGTTTAGGTGCCACTTGCCTTCACCTGCAGGGACCCTGTACAGGTAAAGCTCGAGGGGGACCACTCCCTGAAAGGAAAAACGGGTGAGAAAGAAGAGATGGAGTCCAAGCAAGTCCACTTGTGCAGGGACATGGCGTCCTGACCTCCGCCTCCCCCTTGTAAGAGCTTGGGTATCTGTGGTTATTGCTGGAATTGTTTATCACAAGGACTTTCTCCTGATTCCAAGAAGTTGGTCAAAAGGTTACAGCATTATTATGGGTATGGGAGGGGGACTGAGCAATTCAGCAACATGACTGACCGCCAGGTTTTCCAAGAGATTACTGTATGACTTATCTTTCCGAGAACTGTTTGCAAGGGGAAGAGAAAGATAACCTTGCCATAAATTCTTTCCCAAGGTTACTTGTGCAAGCAGAATGTCCTGCTTAAGTCAACTGTTTGTAGAGCTATATTATATTTTTTGGTAATGAATGTTGTTTCTCCAGCTCCCGACATTTCTTTCTTTCTTTCTTTCTTTCTTTCTTTCTTTCTTTCTTTCTTTCTTTCTTTCTTTCTTTCTTTCTTTCTATTTTAAGTTTTTTTTTGAGACAGAATCTGCCTGTAGCCCCAGCTGTCCTGGAACTCACTATCTAGACCACACTGGCCTTTAACTCACAGAGATCTGCTTGCCTCTGCCTCCTGAGTGAGATTTATATATTTTTTTATGGGGCTTTTGGCTGCTCTAACATTCTCTCCTCTGAAGAGGTAACCCTAAAGTCTTTTAAGAATTAGATCCAAACTCCCAACTATTTTTGACATTTTAGGCCTTTGGAACAGAGTATGTTGCTAAGAGGCCCAAGGACATTGTGAGTTTTAGCCAAGAAACTGGTTACTTTTCTTTGGGGTCTCTTTACCCTAACTGCCTAGCCAATTCCTACCTCCTATTATCACACCATCCTCTGAGGAGGTTACCCAAATTAACATTAGGGAATCAGGATGCAGACAGCTCTGGCTTCTTCCATGCTGAACAGGGACGCTGAGTGAGGCAACTGGGGTACCCCTTCAGTTGATGTATCTAAAAGACCCCCAAATTGCATAACTCTTATCTCTAAGGGGAAAAGAAAGTCCTTGAATTGTGAATAGGAGATGTGAGGAGAAGTAAGGCAAGAGTAATTAGCGTTACAAGTCCTAGACAGGGAACTAGAAAAAAGACAGAACCGGGGAATTTTCAAACGTTCATATCAGACTTCATTGGAATGTCTTGCGAAGGGCTTCCAAAAGCATCCCTCTATTGGGTTACTCCTCATTTTTCTTTTGTCTTCCAAGGTTATGAAGACCTGGTGGTCTTGATCTCACAGAGATCTACCCACATCTGCCACGAGAGTGCTGAGACTAAAATCATGTGCCACCTCTCCCATGTTTTGTTTTTGATTTAAATTGGCCTTTACTTTTTACGAGGGTTTATGAGGCATTCAGAGCAGAATAAAGTCTGGCATTTTAAGTTTATACCTTTTGAGCCTCCCTATGGGCATTGTAGTAGCTAGGTTAAATATTTAATAATGGCTTAAACTATGCTTTTCTTTCAAATTAAATGAGCAGAGATGAATAATTGTACCAAATACAGTATATACACATTAACATTATCAATAAACTATAGGATTTCTTAGTAAGCCATGAAATATGTTTTAGAAATGACCCCCCCCCTTTTTAATGTTTAGAGTTTCATCTTACATAGGCTTTGCTAAGAAAGGAATCTTGAAAAAACTCTTTTCTTGTGTGTACT